GGTACTTTAGGAATAAAAATAGAGCTATTAAATAAGGGGTATCAGGGCAGACTTTATTTACTGAGAAAGCTCTTTATGAAATTTTGATGATCCAGATTCAGTATTCTGTAACATTTGTTCTGTGGTAATTGACCTCATTACATTTTTAAATTTAGCAATTGTTTTTAATTGGCATTTTTGATGAAAACATTGACTAAAGATAAAATTATTTTCTAATACCACCAGGAGACCAGGCAAAGTCCATAGCAGAAAACTCTCCTGAATTATTTTTCAACAACCAGTATAACCAGTTGGACATTGGCATTTGTTCCCTGGGTTTTGCTCCATGCAACTTAAACAAGTAAGGCGTTTTTCCTATGTATTTTTCATTTGGCTAATTCATATCCACTGCAGAAAACATGGCAAATATTAAAAAATGTGAAGAAAATATAAATGTCTCCATTTCTTCAAAACAATTTTCAGATAGTTTTGTGTCCTCCACAGTATGGGTACCTTTCTCAGTGAACTCTGAAAGCATCTTTAGCAAGGATGGCACTGCTAAGCCTACAATGCCTACTGCAACCACCATGATAAAGTAACGTGATTTGGATGCTGTCTCTATGTTCACAATTCCAGTTCAGTGAAGATTTCAGTCAGTTCCATTATTTCCAGGTCATGTCTTATTTTTCTTTACTATTTACAGCATTGGAAGGGAACTCTTTGTCTTTATAGAAGTGAATACTGCTAGCATATGAATTCCCTGTGACTAGACGGAGCTCTAGGTTGAAATCATTTGAAGTGTCTCTCTATGGTTCTACAAGCCAATGTGATCTGCAGACAGATTACTAGGTTTAGTTTAGATAATAATTTAGCATATCAATCTATTTTTCCTTTCCATTAAGATCATTTAAAAGCTCTAAAAAGGTTCCAAGTATTTTACATTAGCATGCAAAGCAGTTCACCTTGTCTAAATATATAATGATGTCTACCAACTGCAATATATCCTGAAATAGCTGTGCAGAAACCACAGCTCTGCAGCAGCATTTTGAGGCCATTACTTCAGAGCTTGGTAGGTGTCACACTGCTGGCAAGGGACAGACTCCAAAGTCTGTGGGTTTGATGACCACGAAGGTAGGACCTCTGCCTCTTTTGATCTGTTCTTGCCCTTGCTCTTCAGCTGGAGCTTGAGTACAAATCTCTGGCCCTCTGGTCTCTGACTTCGGCTGTGCATCCTGGTCCCTAAGTCAAGGAGTTGGCCAAATGGTCACCCCCTAGGTAGGAGACCATGCATATTTAAAAGCTGTCTACATCTGCTGCCAGCTTTTATACCTGCTGCCGGCATAAAAATTCATCCATTTTCAGGAGTAACTTACTGTTAAGTAACAGGATTCTCTGGAGATGGGAACATAATGTGCTGTTCCAGTTAGCTTGTATGGCTGGTAGCTGTGATTTGAGAAATCCAAACTGAAGTTAAGGCAAATGACTATTAAAACGAAAAAGACCATTTTAGGCATTCAAGACCAGTCATCTCTCTCTCTGTGCTCCAAAGAAAGGACATGCTGCAGAAAGTGCATATTGTCAGTGATGTGAGAGTGCACAAGGCGGTGGGGGCAGGTGATGTCCCCCAAAGTTTCAAGTGGACTAGAATGGCACCCCCAGTGTAGGCCCCAACCGCTTATGTCGGAATCTTCAGGGAGCCTTCAAATGCCCCTGGTGCCCCTCCAAGTTGGAATTGGAGTGGCTGAGAAAGTCTGTGCAAATGGGCATTTGTTTGTGGCTGGAACTATACCCACCTTGGTTGGAGTGCGCTGGATTTAGAACAGCAGGGGCCCGCTTCCTCAGAGCTGTGGGGATACTGCCTGCTGAGAAGAGGGTCTTAGGAACTGTATGTTTATGTCCCCACAAATCACACTTGGAACTCTGATCATCAATGATAGTACTAGGAGAGGCCTGTCAGAGGTAACCCGTGGAGCTCTCACAAATGGGACGAGTACCCTTAGAAAAGGCCAGAGAGCTAGCTGGTTCCTTCCACTCTGTTGGTCGCCTGCAGCATGGAAGAGGGTTCTCATCAGCACCAGACTGTGCTGGCACCCAGATCTTGGACTTGTGGCTTCCAGAACTGAGAGAAATTTATCTTTATTGTTTACAAGCCACCTGGTTTACAGTTTTGTTATAGCTGCCTGAGCTAGAGCGGGGCAAATGTCTCCTGGAAATTGGTTGCCATATTCAATATTTGCCCAATACTTAATGGGCCACTGTGTTGCCAGCTCAGGCTGAGAAATTTAAGGACTTCCTCACATGAAACATGGAGGGTTTTCAATCCCACCCCTTTCCAAAGATGTTTCTCTTTCAAGAGAGGATTATTTTTAGGGATGTGCTGTAAATTTAGGTGTTTTGTAAAGCCCAGTATGGATTTTAGGCCTGGACTACTAATGAAAGATGGGCCACACATTTAGAATGAATTTCTTGGAGCAATGCCTCTTTAAATACTTGAAGAGTCTAATTTCTAAGAAGTGGTGGTTTGGCTCTCAGGCTGCCAGACAAGGGAGAGACTGCAGCTCTGAGGCAACTGGAGCTCTGCAGTGGGCCCCCGAGGAAGCCTGTGCCACATAGCAGGCCTGACTGGCATGGATGATGGCTGTGCAGCGTGCAACACAAAATTTTTCAAGCACTCCAAGTGCTCTTCCCCATCGAATCCTCACACAACCCTGGGAATTATGAAGACAGAGAGTAGCAAACACATTTGGAGATGAAACATTTGCCTGAAGCCACAGGGCTAAGGACAAGTGGGCACTCCCACCACGCCTGGCTTTGGGCAGTGGTGCCCATGTTTGGATGAGGGACACTGCCTCACAGGACAGTAGCTGGCCCCAACACAAGGCATTAAGGTGAAATGACTATATGATGTACGCTAATCATACACTAACAACAAATAGAGCTGAGAAAACGGCCACAACTTGACCTGTATTGATTGAAAAGTAATAATCCAGAAGAATTCTTTTAGGCTTTTCTGTCCTCTCAGTTCTGAACTTTGGTCTTAAGAAACTACTTTGGCATTCTGGCATGGTGCAGGAGAAATGGTGAAGTAAATTATAAACCAGTTAGCACATAGAAACCAAAGACAAATTTGTACTATTACCAAAAGTATTTTTTTTTTGGAAATGAGAGAGTTTCAGTGGACACAAAGATTCTAATTCTAATTGAAAATTTTAACTTGTGATACACTTTGGGAAAACAGATGGTTCTTAGCTCCCTAGAAATGTGATTTAATGGCACTGAGCATAAACAATGTGCAAAGGGCTTGGTGGTTCTGCACTGTAATTCAGGGAGCTCTTCATGAAAAATGAAGGCATATTTTTTAGCGCAAATAAATGAGCAGTCAGACAACTAAACAAATGAATGATCTTTAATATCCTTTGGATCCCTCATTAATACAACCTTAAGTCTGGTCTACCTGGGCAGCCAGAAGACTCTCATGGAAGTCTGGGATAAGACGTAACATCAATTATAACTATGAGCCTTCAAAAAGTTCCTGAAGCCAAAACATGCATCTGTCTTGTTTTGTGTCCTTTGTTTCCTCCTGAATTGCTGCATGAAAAATCAAAGTCTAGCTGGCTGTCCAGGCACTCACTATCTAGAGCAACAGTTTGCAACCTTTTTCATCTCATGGCACACAGAACTAACATTCTGTAGCACACACAAATATGTTTTTTGCTGATCTGATAAAACACAGGTATATTTTTAATTAAAAAAATAACAATAGTAATTACTGATCCTTTTTGTTCCAAAGTGACTTTTTAAAAACTCAGGTGCCTATACTTATATATAAGGACTTCTGGTACCAAGAATTAACCAATCAGACACAATCTTATTATGCAACATGACCGATAAGATGTACCTCTATTATATAACCTATATATTTGTAATTCAAGACAAGGCATTCACACTGCATGACTACTGTTGTGTTGGCTGCTGTCATTTTTTAAAATTTGATGATCTAAAGGAAAAGAGGCCAGAGCCCTGACTAAATAAGTACTGCATGTTTTAAAAATTCTTGTGGCACACTGGTTGAAAATTGCTGATCTAGAGGGATTCTAGCATGAGGTCACTATGGAACACACAACAGTGAGATGCAGGTCAGGAGGAATAGTTCCTTCCATGGAGAAGATACAGAACCAATGTATGTTGTCTAAGGTCATGTCTGTCTCATTCACCTGCATGTCTATTCTTATAACTGGGTGCCCCAACCTAAGGTACCAAATACCAAACTTTGAATTTATTATCAAACTTCTAATTTATGTCAAATACAACAAAAGATACAAATAAATCACAGGAAACAGGAATGAGAGATTATGTACATAATGGTCATGCAATGCCTTATTTCTCCTGGAAGCCTCCCAAGGCTGGGGCTGGAAGGGCGTGGACACCTCTGGGTTTGCAACTCTGCCCTACCTGTACCAGCCATGTGCCCTTGTGCATTTGCTTTGTGCCTCATTTTCTCCATCCATGTGTATGATGATGGCAGCACCCGCCTCACATGGTTGTGATGAGGTATAAATGAGGACACCATGTCTGCCCAGAGGGGAGTGTTCAACTGCATTCACTACGATTAGCCCAAAAGGGCACAATCCTTGTGTTCTATGGCTTTGTATTCTCAGTGCCCGGCAAACTGCACCTGTTTGATAAATGCTTCCTGACTGAGTGAATGGAAGACAGACACGAGTGAAGAGGGAAAAGCTAGAGATGAGAGGTGCAGTTGACAACAGTTTGCTAAAACATTTTTTAATGAAGAGTACAAAGTCAACACCACACTTGAGATTCTCATTTCTCTTGGAGTTGCACTAGTTAAAATTTATTATTTCAACACACAAAAATGTGGTGGTAGAAAAAGAAAACACACTATAACATGTGTTTAACTCCTCTCTAGAACTGCTTCCTGTCAGGCACTGAGAGTTCAGGAAATTCTGCAGGCGCTGCTCTCCGGTCACTGAGTCAGTTTTCCCAAAGATACACACACACAGTTTTGTCATAATACTTTTTTATTACAATATCCAAAAAACTGAGTATGCAAGTTTGGGAGGTCTCAAGACCCCTTCTTTGACTGTAGGAATGTGCCACCTCAAGACAGTATATTTAAACTATAAAGAAGTTCAAATGTAAAGAAAAAAGAAAACAAACATTCTGTGTCTCTTACTACCAGTTACATATTCTCTTGTAAACCCTGAAACATTTCCCTGTAAAGCAAATAATATATATATATAAAACATATATATATGTGTATGTGTGTAAAGTGTTGGTAGCTTCCCTTCCCCAAAAATCAGCTATTTTCTTTAATCATCTGTATTAGTGTCAACAAATGGCTACATATTACTTTGAGAATTAAATACATAATTGTGAAATTTAAACAAGCCAAAGGGCAAGAAGAAAAAGCACTATGTAGATGGCACATTTGGGGATAAATTACCAAAACATATCTTTCTGAGTCACCAGTCCCTCTTGCAGACTGACCTTCAAGGAAATCCTTTCTTATTGCAAGTACAGCCCCAAAGGCACTGGACAGCTTCCTCACTACTATCTCACCTGGTGTTCCAGTATTGCTACCAGCAAACGTGTTCACTCCTTGGAGAGTCTGGGAGCCAGGTAAGAGCAAAGGACAGGAACAAGGGCTGCTGGGACCGGGACCTTTGCCTGTGCTGCCTGGCATGTGGGAGCCCAGGGCTCTCCAGAGAGGCCACCTTGGAGTGCACTGTAGGTCACTTCGTCAAGGGCAGCTTTGGTGCATTCCACCTGTGCCCGGTGTCTTCTAACTGAGAGGAGTTGACAGCATGAACAAGGCGAACAGACTAAGGCTGTTTCCAACTCAGAAGAAATAAAGTGAACAAACTCACCCCTCTTTCACCTCCCATTCTCTAAAACTGGCTGGTAGCAGAGTGGCCTTGAACATGGAACGAGGGCCTGGGATGGTGGAGAGGAGGCAGATGGAAACAACCAACCTGGAGAGAAAGATCAACCAGGCAAAGGAAGCCAGTAGGGGACTAGCCACCGGACGGAGCAGGCCCTCTGCAGAGCTTGTGCCCCATCATGTCTTCTGGGGGCTACCCACTTGGCCCTGGGAAAGTGAGTGAGGCACCATGGCCTGGAGGTGGCAGGCTGGAGGGGAGGCATCACTGAAGCGCTCGGACGAGGTAGAGCTTCTCCCCGTGCTCGCTGGTGAAGATGGGGGCCTTTTTGTAGTGCTCCACCAACTCGTCCATGGTGTGAAACCGCCGCTGCCCAATGCAGTAGACGTTGTCCACAAGCTGCACCTTGAAATGTTTGTTCTTCCCTGATGCTTTGAGAGACACGGAGAAGTCACTGGGCTGGGGAGCAAACAGAACACACGTTACAAGTGAGCTAGACAGGAGACTCCCCAGCCACCAGCAGAAGAGCCAGTCTGAGAGTGGAAATGCTGTACTGTCTGAGCCTCAACTGCATGAAGCCTAACTATTTTGGGAATTACCCTCGAATCTTCACTTATCCAAACCCAAACTGCCATACAGCCCAAACAGCTAGGTCTCTGTTTTATTATTAAGGATAGTAAAAAGAACGGCATCTGATGTTTAGAACAATGCAGTGACAGTCCAAGACTCTGGTGCTCTGAATAGAAAAAAAAATTAAGTTTTGCTTCACATAGTTTTGGTGCTCAATGTATGTTAGTTTTCTCAAAAGTGGAGACTCACTGTGGAATGTATGCCACCAGCGTTAACCTGGATGCTGAAGAAACCTGAAGTTTTCATTTCCTAAGCAATTTTTTATAAACTGGAAAAATTTCAAAAGGGACTTGGATTAATATATAGGCAGCATCTAAAAGTTTTTCTTCTCCTGACTTCTACCACTATTAGCCATTCAACCATCAAACATTTTCTCATTCTAAACTATTTAAAAAAGAAAACTTTTAAGAGCCATGAGAAATTCTGGTTGCATTTTATTTAAATGTGGTTCATAAAATCCCAGAGGGGGCTGTACAATGGTTCAAACACAAATTTTATTGATAAATGTTTACATTTGTGTTTATGTCAGTACCTTACTTATATTTGAATATCTTTTAGAAAGACATCATTACTTTTATCAAAATTGGTCTTTTATCTCATTTATTTAAATGTATGCAGAGAAGACACTGAATGAGGAATGTTCTTTAGGAAAAAAAGTATTGATTAATCCAATAAAGAACAATTATTTATTGAATACAACCTACGCTCCAGATAGGCCATGCTGTGAATACATGCATGTGTGTATGCAATGCACAGCACGTGTACATATACACGTGTACACAGCACGTGTGGTACAGCATATGCACCACAGAAACAACCATTCAGTGGGGGAAACAGATCAAGAAAAATAAATAGGTTGAAATGTGTGCAGGTGTAAGCCACGGTAAGTTCTACAGAGAGAAAGGAGAGAACACTGAGGCAGGGTAGGCTGATTTAAATGGGCATGGGGGGTGGGCAGTCTGGAAAAGCTTCTGAAGAAATCAGAGCTGAGGCTGAAATGAGGCCGAGATAAGCCTGAGTGGTGGGGTTGGTGGTAGAGTACTGGGAAGTGGGGCTGATGGTGAAGAAAGAGAGGGAAGGTCCTGACTCTTCTGAGGTACTATGTGACTAGTGTGGCTGAGGTGGAGGTAGAAGGATGCAAACCTCCCTCAAGAGTCTCAGAATAAAACCCACAGCCTTCTGACCTACCATGGCTGTGCCTTAGCCCTTGCCCGCAATGAGCTCCAATCAGTGAGACAAAAGTATGTGCCACGCCCAGTCCCTGGTTCACTCCTGCTCCTGTTGTTCTCTGAGCCCCGCCCCTGCATCTCGGTCAACCAAGCCTATAAGGCTCAGCTCAAAAATTTACTGGGGAAGCCTCCTCCTTCCCAAACAAGATAAGCTCTTCTCTTTGGCTTGCTGTAGAGCAAAAAGTTAACGGCTATCCAGTGGCAGAACCACAGTGTATTCCAGTAACCGCTCTGTATAAATAATTTACACCCATGTCTTATCCCCTTCATTACTCATCATGCCAGGTAAGGCCACATCCTCTCCATGGCTCTACTCCACAGAAAGTCCTATGGATTGCGGTGCCTAATACAGTTCTTAACTGAATCTCAAAACCAGGTTTTAGCTTCTCCTAACACCCAGGAACTTACAGCTGCTGAGGTTCCACCAGTCCTACCCATGCTTTGCCCACCTCCCTCAGGGACAAAAATGAACAAGCGTCCTAGCCATTGTTTGTCACACAGAGTTTACAAATGTTTGACTGAAAGTGTGCAAATCTTGTAGAGCAAGATATAACTAACTCCATATGACCTATTGACAAGTCAATAGGTTCAGAAAACTCAGCTCTAGAAGAATGGGCTGCTGGACCCACCAGTCACAGCTACTATTAGCATAAAAGAGTCAAAGAGACAATTACATTTACCGTTTGTATTCATGTATTCCTCTGCCCCACACAGACCAAATAAAAACAAATCTTTGAGGTATGAAGGCAGGATGAACTTCAGGAAGAGGCAGAAAGGTTAATCTCTGCTTTTAGGCCTTAGGCACTATCTTATTTTCAGAATCATGGCCACTAGAAGGCGGGGGTGGAGCAGGGGTAGCAGGGAGTGGGGAGAACATATATCTTGAAAATTATTTTCTCAATTCAAACCCTTAGGAATGAATCATCCCAAACCCTGATGTCATACATGATCCTGTCAACCAGCCCTATCAACATAATACTCTAAAGCAGGCGCCCATGGCCTAACCGCTGGGCCACGGACCAGTACCGTCCAACTGGGCTGCACAGGTGAGCATGAATGTATGAGCTTGAATCACCCCGAAACCATCCCCCCACCCTGGTTCATGGAAAAACTGTCTTCCATGACACCGGTCCTTGGTGCCAAAAAAGTTGGGACCACTGCTCTAAAGCACAAAACGACATTCTAAGTAATCATTTGATTACACAACTGTCAATTCATGATTATTTCACAGGCCTGAACAACTAGCCTCCATATTCTCAGCATTACCATCCTAGCTGGTGCTCTCTGTGCTTCCGCAAACAGAACACACGGACGGGGACCCCTCCACAGGAGCCAGGCTGGCAGCACCAGCCCCTGGCCCCTGTCACCTGAGTCATTACATCAGGAGAGCCACCCCAGTCAATCACAGCACATTCGTGTACAGTAGCACATACAAGTGATAACCTGCTCACCCCTTTCCTGAGGGCTTCAGGTCTTAGTTTCAGGCTTCTATTATTTTGTATAAGTATATCCATTCTGTGTTAAACGTTTCTGCCGTCTTAGATCAAAATGGCTGCAGTCTCAGTTTATAGCTTGGCACAAGCCAGGCACCACGTAGTTTTATAGATACTTCAATTAACTCACAGCTAAAGTGGCACTGTACTAGAGTACAACGTGAGTGAGGCAGAGTAAGTATATGGTAGACATAATTTTAATTAAGCCAAATGATCAACAGATGACTTTCTAGACAGGGGAATCTGCTTCTAATGTAAGTGCCTTAATTTCACACCTTGGGGCATCACGTGTGTGTGCTCAGCAGTAAAATGGGTGGAGTGGAGAAGGTAATTTTTAATTTCATGGGCTCCTGAGCAGAAACCTTAAGGCAGGGGCATCCAACCTTTTGATCTCTCTGGGCCACACTGGAAGAAGAGTTATCTTGGGCCACACATTAAATACATTGTGACACGTGATCACACACACAAAACCTCATCATGTTTTAAGTAAATTCGTGATTTTGTGTTGGGCTGCATTAATAGCCATCCTGAGCCACCCGCCACCGCCGTGGGTTGGACACCCCTGCCTTAAGGTTGAGGACACAGAACTGAGTTAATGTAATACAGGAGTGCCGAACATCTGAGGAATTCTCATTTCAACCCGGGCAGATTTTCCAGTCTACACACCAAAGAGAATGAGTGCTTATGTGTTTCTACTGCACAGCCCTATGTGAAGCCTGAAGATGAACATGACCAGTGGTTTTCCAAGTGGGCTCCCAGTACCAGCAGCATCTGCGAATACCTGGGAACTTGTCAGAAACCGTCAGGCCCCACCCCAGACCCACTGAATTAGAAACTCTGTTTCAAACTCCAGCAATCTGCACTTTAATAGGCCTTCCAGGGATCCTGACACAGTTGCAGAACAGAAATGAAATTTGGGAGGGCCACCAGCAGTGTTCTCACATGTTCGAAGCCACAGTAAAAAGACATGAATGTGGATTATAGGCTATGTAGTCCCTGAGAGGGAGTCCCGTGGCTGACCTCCCCACAAGCTGTGGGTACCCTTCTGATTCTGGGCCCTGCACCAGACACTGCTGGTGGGGAATGCCTGATGGAACAGCTGGGACACTGATGGAAACAATGCCCTAAGGTCTCACCCCTTGAAACTGAGCTAGTCCCCTGGATCTGACAAACCACTCTGCTTCCAGAGACCGAGCACAAGGCAGAGAGAGAGGAATTCTGAAGAAAGCAGCACCACAGCCCTGCTCGAGTCTGCCATGGTCCTTTGGAAACAAACTTAGGGGAACCAGGCACACTTAACTCAACTAGTAGTGTATACTGATATGAAGACTCAGGGCATTAAGTTTTAAGTTAGTCAAAGATTCCTAACATATTTTTGCTTGAATATCTTCTACACTGAGAAAATGGACCAACATAAACAGCAGCTCAGCATTTCCTCTCCACACAGGCTTTGGTTTTGGGGTGTTACTGATCTGAAGACCCAGGCCCGTACAAGGCAGTCCTGCGGCACAGAGCTGAAGCCTGCCGAGGGCCCCTCATCTGGAGGCCAATGTGCCAACCTGATCCCTCAGGTGGAGAGCACTGGGCTTGGGAACTCTCCACAGTTAGTGAGAGTATAAGCCAGGACTGCTGCTTTGTTAAAGAGTTGTTGCATTATTGAGAAGTTGGAAGAGGCATCCTTAAGAACTCAGCAATTGCATCGCAGATTTGAATATGGTCTAGAGGTACACCTACACATGTGCACCAGGGCACATGTGTGAGGATGCGCAAGCAGACCTGTGCAGTGACCCAGGTGCAAACACTCCTCAGGTCTACCAACTGGAGAATGGACAAGTAGATGAGACATGTATTTCATCAAACAATGAAATGGATGCATCAACACGTACTAAAACATCTCACAAAGAGTGTGGAACACAAGAAGAAAGTAAGAAAAGAACATGCACAGTATTTACCATCTACAGAATTCTAAAACAGGCAAAACCAAAATGTACTGTTTAGGGATACATACATAGATTTAAAACAGTAAAGAAAATGATTACCATAAAATGAAAGGTATCGGTTACCTGTAGTGGGAGGTGAGGTGCAATCAGGTAGCAGGAGTGTGTGG